AAAAAAAAACAGTAGTAGATAATTAGTAGTTACTCAGAGATATATATACTAGGCAAATGTTCTATCACCCAGGAATTAGATAGAGCAGATTACGACATTTACCAAGATCACTTTCCTCACAGTGGCTGCATTAAATACGGACACAACTCCAGTTTCGGGATGTATGAATTAACACTTCACCAAGACTGAGATAAATGTGCCAGTCCAAGAAAATATCGAGTGTAGAGAGATAACACAATAGGAAGAGAGAGAGAGAGAGTGGGGACAACAGTTGACACAAGCTACGCGTCTACCCTACTCATCAAAATTTCAGTGTTGGGATTTGGGTGTGAGACGTGTTGCATGTGCTTGGAAAGAGGCCCAGTCAGTCAGCAAGGGCTAATGTGTGGGTGACAGAAGTATGTTAACTGTAACTGTAGAAAACTGTGCTTGATACTCGGACAAGAACTGAGGGAAAAGAAGGGGATAATATTAAAAAGAAAGTCGAAAATCTTGGCGTTTAGTGAGATAGAGAAACGTTGACGTTATAGACTAATGTGTGTACAAATGTGTTGAAATATCCTACTTATGCTACCAAAAGAGGGGAACAGCAGTGAGTGTCTCTCTCAGGACCAGCAGACATAACCTCTGCCTCGTGGTGCCCCTCCGTCCGTCCACTGCCTCAGATCGTGGAGTCCACTACTCAAAGGTGGATTTCACGTTCAGTCACGGAGAAAATAAGGATCTCAGAGTCGGTTCCCACGGCTTCAGGGCCAACATTTTTATCGTGCCCTGTCCCCGAAAACCGCCAAGATTTTCGTCCCAGGCAGAGGCAAAGTAATCCAACCCTTCACTATGGACATAGACTCTAATCTATTCGACAAAAGGAAGTCTTCGATAGATGCAATTGTGCGGGGTAAGTGTGTGTTATTTGTGCTGCATCTCCATGTTATCAGTGTCTTTTTAACAAGCTGATTTTTTTTAATCTATGTTCAGCTTTAAGAAAAGAAAAGTCGGTTTTCTTTCACAATTTTTAAAATAAAATTTTCCAAGTAATTTTAGTGACTTTTTGGTGTCAAGGTTATTTTTATTGAGTATACAAGTGCTAGAGTTTTTGAACCACTCGGTACTAATTATTGGTCATGAGTTGAACATAGTGCTAACGCCGCCGCTGCTCTGCGCGTCTTGGGTAAGTATTCAAATTTTATTACTTTCTTCCAATCCTTTACTTGCCATTGTTGTCGCTACTTCCTCCATTATAGTCGTTTGTTAACTATAAGATGAGTTACTACATGAAGACCCAACTTTAACACAGACGGTAACTCAGAGCACATGTGTTACACCAGCCAGAGAGTGACGGAGGAGTGTGTTGCTCTGTTCAGTAAGAGTATCATGGGACGCCCCTGTAAGACAAATTCGTCCACATTTTCTAATCTTTGTAATCCTGACAGCCAATGGTTTATGGACATACACTGAGACTACTGTAGTTTGAGTATTATTGTTGCTACATTAGTTACTACAGTGTTGTCCCGGGTTTAACCTTGTCATTTAGACCGTTAGTTTTAGCTACAGTGTTGACCTCCGCTAAACCTTATAAATTAACGTTCATGCTTAACAATGTGTTCTTGCGTGTATTAGGAAAAATGTTGTGGGCAAATAGAGTGAGGGAGAAGGTGGGTAAGATGGCCCTCCCTCCCCTGTTCGGTCACTCTCCTCCACTGGTGATAAATTCACTATATTCCTTTATGGATATGTATTATGTATAGTTAGCTGCGAGCGATGACAATAATATTCAATACAATTTTCATATTTATCCTCAAAATAAGATGAAACTCACAAGGATCTAATTACTATATTGGAAAAATTGTCATAAAAGATAAAGATAAAATCTCACACACTAGTTGTATGTACTCCAGTATAGGGAGGTGGCCGGGTGGAGTAAGTGAAACGTGGCCGGCAGTGTCCGCAGACTTTATCATCCGCCGCTCTCGTCTCCAGTACAGTATAGGGAGGTGGCCGGGTGGAGTAAGTGAAACGTGGCCGGCAGTGTCCGCAGACTTTATCATCCGCTGCTCTCGTCTCCAGTATAGGGAGGTGGCCGGGTGGAGTAAGTGAAACGTGGCCGGTAGTGTCCGCAGACTTTATCATCCGCCGCTCTCGTCTCCAGTATAGGAGGTGGCCGGGTGGAGTAAGAAACGGGCCGGTAGTGTCCGCAGACTTACCACCCGCCGCTCGTCCTCGTCTCCAGACCGCGCGGGAAAAGCCGGACCATCTGGCTAAAATTGCCCCGGGCGTGGGCCAGGAATACATTACTGATGTGGTCCACTATATTCCACAGCTTACCCCCCGCCCCACACCCCTGCCCCCACACCCAGCCCCCACACGCCGCTCCCACACCCCGCCCCCACACCCCGCCTCCACACGCGCCAGCCCCCACACCCGCCTCCACACCCCAGCCTCCACACGCTGCCCCACACGCCGCCCCCACACGCCGCTCCCACACCCCGGCCCCACACGCCAGCCTCCACACCCCACCCCCACACCCTGGCCTCCACATGCCAGTCCCACACCCCGCCCACATGGTCCTGCACACCCCTGCCCCCCACGCCCTCCACACCCCTGCCTCCACGCCGCCCCACACCCTGCCTCCATGCCGGTCCCACCCTCGCCCTCACACTCTGCCCCCACATTACCGCCCCCCTCACACCCCTGCCCCCACACCCCGCCTTCCTCTCATTTGTTTGTTTTTCTTCAGGGATGAAACACATGACTCACTGTTTATTTTGACCGTAAACTTCGTCAGCATTGACGCATATAACGCATACAATCGTCCTTAATAACACACACGCACACACACACACAGTGCATGAGAGTAGCGTATGATCCTACTTCTTATTCAATAAGTCTTCTATATACATGATATACAGGCCAATTCATATACGCCAGCCCCAGGAAACGTGACGTGTGATAAGCATATTGTAGGTCTGGGAGCGACGCCCACCAATTGGGACAGATACCCGGCTTCCCTCAGCGTTACAAGAGGCTCAGCCTGCTCACATTATACTATCTTTAGCTGGTGTGTGTGTGAATATATGTATATGTATCTGTATATATGTACTTTCGTGTATGTATGTGTGTGTGTGTGTGTGTGTGTGTTTGAATATTTCTTTTACATAACGGTATATATTGAGGTATATCTTAGTTTAGCCCCACACTCTCCTCCACTAGAGACTGACCTTCCCTCACACCTGTGTTAGTGGACGGGAGTTATTGAGGGTGGTGAAGACAAGGTATTCTCCTTCCCTCACACCTGTGTTAGTGGACGGGAGTTATTGAGGGTGGTGAAGACAAGGTATTCTCCTTCCCTCACACCTGTGTTAGTGGACGGGAGTTATTGAGGGTGGTGAAGACAAGGTATCCTCCTTCACACCTGTGTTAGTGACGGAGTTATTGAGGTGAAGACAAGATTCTTCCCTCACACCTGTGTTAGTGGACGGGAGTTATTGAGGTGGTACAAGGTATTCTCCTCCTCACACCTGTGTTAGTGGACGGAGTTATTGAAGGTGGTGAAGACAAGGTATTCTCCTTCCTCTCACACCTGTGTTAGTGGACGGGAGTTATTGAGGGTGGTGAAGACAAGGTATTCTTCCCCTCACACCTGTGTTAGTGGACCGGAGTTATTGAGGTGAAGACAAGGATTCTCCCTCGCACCGTTAGTGACGGAAGTGTGAAGACAAGGTATTCTCCTTCCTCTCACACCTGTGTTAGTGGACGGAGCTGAGGGTGGTGAAGACAAGGTATTCTCCTACCCTCACACCTGTGTTAGTGGACGGAGTTATTGAGGGTGAAGACACAGGTATTCTCCTTCCTCGCACCTGTGTTAGTGGACGGAGTTATTGAGGGTGAAGACAAGGTATTCTCCTTCCCTCACACCTGTGTTAGTGGACAGGAGTTATTGAGGGTGAAGACAAGGTATTCTCCCACCCACACCTGTGTTAGTGGACGGGTTATTGAGGGTGGTGAAGACATATTCTCCCTACCCTCACACCTGTGTTAGTGGACGGGAGTTATTGAGGGTGGTGAAGACAAGGTATTCTCCTACCTCACACCTGTGTTAGTGGACGGAGTTGAGGGTGAACAAGTATTCTTCCCACACCTGTGTTAGTGGACGGAGTTATTGAGGGTGAAGACAAATTCTCCCTCCCTCACACCTGTGTTGTGGACGGAGTTGAGGGTGGTGAAGACAAGGTATTCTCCTACCCTCACACCTGTGTTAGTGGACGGGAGTTATTGAGGGTGGTGAAGACAAGGTATTCTCCTTCCCTCACACCTGTGTTAGTGGACGGAGTTATTGAGGGTGAAGACAAGGTATTCTCCTTCCCCACACCTGTGTTAGTGGACGGGAGTTATTGAGGGTGAAGACAAGGTATTCTCCTCTCACACCTGTGTTAGTGGACGGGAGTTACTGAGGGTGGTGAAGACAAGGTATTCTCTCCTCACACCTGTGTTAGTGGACGGAGTGAGGTGAAACAAGGATTCTCTTCCCACACCTGTGTTAGTGGAGGGAGTTGAGGGTGGTGGACAAGGTATTCTCCTTCCCTCACACCTGTGTTAGTGGACGGAGATTGAGGGTGAAGACAAGGATTCTTCCTCCACCTGTGTTAGTGGACGGGATATTGAGGGTGGTGAAGACAAGGATTCTCCTCCTCACACCTGTGAGTGGAGGGGTTATTGAGGAAGACAGCATTCTCCTTCCTCACACCTGTGTTAGTGGACGGGAGTTATTGAGGTGGTGAAGACAGGTATTCTCCTTCTCACACACCTGTGTTAGTGGACGGAGTTATTGAGGTGGTGAAGCAAAGGTATTCTCCTTCCCTCACACCTGTGTTAGTGGACGGGATATTGAGGGTGGTGAAGACAAGGTATTCTCCTTCCTCACACCTGTGTTAGTGGACGGAGTTATTGAGGGTGGTGAAGACAAGGTATTCTCCTTCCTCACACCTGTGTTAGTGGACGGAGTTATTGAGGGTGGTGAAGACAAGGTATCTCCTTCTCACACCTGTTAGTGGACGGTTATTGAGGGTGGTGAAGACAAGGTATTCTCCAATACTCCAGACGTTATTATCAGTGTGCTGTTGTTGGTCCTTGTTTAGCTAGGAGTATAGCACACCCATACACTACACTACACTACACTACACACTACACTACACTACACTACACTCACACTACACTACACTACACTACACACATACACACTACACTACACACTACACCACACCACACCACACACATCACACTACACCACACCACACTACACTACACTACACTACACACACACACCACACTACACTACACCACACCACACACACACATGCACACTACACTACACTACACTACACTACACCACACACATACACACTACACTACACCACACACACCACACACACACATCACACTACACTACACTACACTACACTACACTCACACTACACACATACACACCACACTACACTACACTACACTACACTACACTACACACACTACACACACACATGCACACCACACTACACTACACCACACTACACTACACTCACACACACACACTACACTCACACTACACTACACTACACTACACTACACTACACTACACCTACACTACACCACACACATGCACACTACACTACACCACTCACACTACACACACACACACACTACACTACACCACACCACACCACACCACACTACACCACACCACACACACACATCACACCACACCA